TTTATCTAATTAGTAATTCTGCTATTGACTCAGCATGTTTTGTGTTCATCTTAAATCTCCATATACTTGGTATGTGTTCCAGTGTTAAGTATTTTTTTGTGACATTCTTTATTTTTGGAGCGCAGCGTAATATACATGCCTAAGCAATGACGTGTAGCACAAAATAAATCATATTAACTAAAATACAGGGATAAAGAGTCAAGAAATACGGCACTGGTTTTTTTTGTAAAGGAAAAACATGAGTAAAACAATGACAGACACAAAAAGATAATTCCCCCAAGGATTTTTTTTTTTCAATTGACAATTTTTTTATTTTGTCATACGTCAAAACATGGGAATACAGAACAAAGAAGGGGGGATTGCAGGCTGAATACACGCACATATACAACATGGATATATACAACATGGACTTCCCTGGTTCCAGAGATTCAATGGTTTTATACATGAGTTTTACAGTTACAGTGTGTGTTATCTACCAGTACGCTTTTGGTCGGTCTCAATCATGGTAATGGTACCAGGTTGTGTATTGTTTATTGTTTACGTCCAACTGTCCCAGTGGGGCCTCAATGTATGCAGGGTCATAATGTAGGCAGTTTGGGTTCCAGGGTATGGAAGGGGAGCCTTGGGTCTATGTATCCCTTTCCCCTCGTCACCTCCATGTTTGCAATTCCTCACTTTCAGCACTCAGGGGACACGGGCACTTATGCAGGTCTCTGACCCTGTAGGCTACCATTGCCGAGCATTGCGGTTCATGCCCACTGCTGAGCATATTTATAGTTGGATAACGGAGTTACAGAATTGTATCGAGGCTTCCGGGTTATGTTATGGTAATATCTGGGTAGTGTACTTTGGGTTAGTTATATGTCGCCTGTTCGCCGCGTTTTGCCTGTTGGTACTCATCGTGGTACCTCTTAGCATGTTATTCGTGGGCTACTTAGGTCACATTTTATTGGTTATGGGTGGGTATTGTAGGGTTCTTTAGTGTGTTTTACCCATAGGTCATGTGCCTCCTGGACTCCTTTCCGTGCACCAAATTGTGTGGTAGTCATCCTTTCGTATGCCCAATTTTGGTCTACCTGCTGTATGAGATCGTCTATAGGCAGGGTCACCGCCTTCTTCCATAGTCTTGATATCACAAGGTTAGCTGAAATTAATGTGTGGTATATTATCAATGTGACATGTTTCGGTATTCCCTCTGGTAACATCAACAGGAGACACACCTATGGGTCATCTGCTCTTGGGGTGGGCAGTATCTTCTGTATTAGGTTTGCTACTGCTTCCCAAAATGGTCTGAGTGTGGTGCATGTCCACAAGACGTGTATCATTGTACCCACCTCCTCCCCACACCTCCAGCATATATTGCTGGTTGCTGGCCATATGTGCAGTTATTGAGCTTGTCCGGTACCAGATACCAGCGGTATAAGATTTTGTGCTGTAATTCCAGGTGTGTGGCACATGCTGTGAGCCCCTTGTGGGTTATGTAGGCCCTCTCCCAGTCCCTATCTTCTATTGTTCTGCCTATGTCCTGCTGCCATGCCAGTTTTATCTCTCCTAATGTGTGTGTTTGGTGCGCTAATAGTTTCTGGTATCCCCAGGACATCGTTTTTTTGAGTGGTGCAATTCCCGTACCTTATTTTTCGAAGTCTGTCATGTGTGTCTTTACATTAGTGTCTGTTTGTTTCCCCAATTTGTCGGTCACATAAGATTTAAGCTGGAGATAGGAGAATATAGCTTTAGTGGGTAGGTTGTACTTGTCCTGTATGTCAGGAAATTGTGTTATTCGACCCCTATCTATAACTTGGTATATGTGGTGTACACCTCCCTTCACCCATTTTTCCCATGGGAATGTAGGGATCTCTAGCCCAATAGTTCGCATTGGTGTAGCCAGGGGTAGTTTCGGCGTTGACACCAACTTGTGTTTAATTTTACTCCGTACTCGCAGTAGGGTTTGGGTAGTGGGCAGGAGAGCATCTAGGGCTCGGTTATTGCCTGTCTGTTTCCACATTAGTGATCGGAGATCACCTTGTGTGGCTACGCTGGACTCAATCGTCACCCACTGTGGGATGTTCGTAAGCCAGTTAATTTGGGCGATGTTGTGTAAGTAGGCAGCTCTGTAGTATGCTGTTAGGTTGGGTAAGCCCAACCCCTCATTTATTACTGATTGTTGTAACGTCCTTGCTTCTACCCTCGCCTTCCTCCCCTCCCATATGAAGGAGTAGATAGTATGTTGCATGATTTTCAAGAATTGTTTTGGTATGGGTATTTGTAGCGTACGGAAAAAAATATTGTATCTTAGGTATGAGCGACATTTTAACTGCTGCAATTCGGCCCAGCCACGATAGGTACCTTCCCCGCCAAGTTTGCAGAGTGTGCGAGAATTCTTTTAGCATTCGGGCATAATTGTGTCTGAACAGGTGGGTTGGGTTTTTGGTTAGTTTGATGCCCAGGAATGTTAGGTAGTGTTGTCTCCAGTCTAGGGGGAATGCCATCTCCATTCTGTTTGCTAGATTCTCACCCAACTTTATTACCAGAGCTTGGGTTTTCGTGACGTTTAGTTTGTAATAGGACACTGCTCTATACTCATGGATTCTTGCCATCAGCTTTGGTAGAGAGATTATGGGGTGTGTTAGCATTACTAAAATATCATCCGCAAACAAGTTAAGCTTGTACTCCTTATCGCCTAGGTGTATGCCTTGTATGTCTGCATCAGCCCTGATGACTGCTGTCAGGGGTTCCAGCACTAGGATATAGAGCAACGGTGACAGGGCACCCCTGTCGCGAGCCGTTGGTGATGTGAATTTGTTTGGATACGAACCCAGAGTTTAGGACTCTGGCTGTGGGATGCGAGTAAAGTGCCCGGACAGTATTTATGAAGGCTGGGGGGAACTTATATTTATGCATGTCAGTGGCTAGGTCCTTACAGAATTGTGAGTCATTCAAAAGGGTCTCGTTCAGTCTCCACGGACTGCAGTGTTTGTAGTCATATGTATCTTGCAGTTCAAGAGTGGTTGGGGCATGGTCAGACCATGTATTGGTGCCTATCGAGCAAGATGTTAGTTGGTTGAGGAATGTACCCTTTATATAGAACCCGTCTATCCGGGTGTAGGTGTTGTGGACCTGGGTGAAAAATGTATAATCCCTTTCCTCTGGGTGTAGTACCCCCCATGCATCATATAGGTCATGCTCGCTAAGTAGGCGGACTAAGGGTTTGCATTCCCTTGTGAGGGTTGTGTTTCAAGGCGTGTTTGGTCGTACTGTCGAGTCCCATTTGGGGTCTAGTATGTGGTTCAAGTGCCCTCACATAATCGTGACACCCCTCTGCACTGGCGTGAGGCGTGTTATGATTTTGTGCAGGAAGTTTCACTGATTGGCATTTGGTACGTAAATATTGACAATAGTGTGTTCTAAGTTATTGATCTCACAGATCAAAATGATGTACCTCCCCTGTGTATCTGTGGCCTCGTACAGGAGCTTAAAGGACACGTCTTTGCTGATCAGTATAGACACACCTTTAGTTTTAGATGTGGCCGTGCTGTGGTACTGGACTGGGTACTGTGCTTGTGCCAGGTTGGACACCTGTTTAAAGTGTGTTCCCTGTAAGCACACTTTGTCTGGGCGTGTCTTGCGCAAATCTCTGGTTAGGCAGTATCTCTTTACTGGGGTGTTCAACCCCTTAACATTGTGGCTATATATTTTCATATTCTATTGGATAGTATATAAGGGTACTGGTTATTTCCGTCATTGTGTGTGTCGTCATGGTGATATGCGATCTCCCCAAGGAGTCCATGTTTTTGCTGCCCCCGTGGTCCTCACTGCTGGGCTCTGCTGTGCCAGGGGTAGGGGTTGGGAGGGTAGGGAGCAGGACTAAGGTGTGAGCGATACAAACAACATTCGTAACAGTCGAATATAACAAAACAATGTATACATTAACAAACATGTGAGTATACATTTCCCACTGAAGGGTATTGCACTACCGTGATAGTGCAAGGTGTGAGCGTGGTTACTATGTAGACTTCTAGAGTGTAAGGCGGTTGGTTGCACACTTAATGCCCGATTTACTCCATCGATATTCTCAAGCGTGTTATGCTGAATGTGCTGTGTGTTTACCGGCTAGTGCTGTGGCATGAGGTTGACTGGCGTGTTTCTACGACTTTGTGTTTTTTTGGGGGGGGTTTTTTGTGTGTGAAGTTTGTGTCTGGATGTGTTTGGGGTCGTTGCACTCGTCAAGCCTTTATGGCTTTTTTGTGTGTGTTGTGTTTGTGGTCCAGAGTGTACATAATGAGACATATAGTGCTTGGTATACTTGCGCCTTGATGTCTGCTAGGCTATGGTTGCTGCCATGGTGGGATCAGCAAAAGGAAAAGTGTCTCTGTGCCAGTTCATTTTTTGGACTTTTTCCATTCTGGAGATATTCTGTGCGCTGTGGTTGTGTCTTTCCTCTCTGGATTTGGCATGAGGTTCCAGCTGCGCAGCAGTGTGCGGCCTTCCTCCGGTGTGTTCACTGTAGTCACCGTGCCGTTTCTTCTGATTAGGAGGCGGATTGGAAATCCCCATCTGTACTGTATATTGCTGTGGTGGAGGGCTTCCGTTGTTTCCCTGAATTCCTTTTGTTTTTGCTATGTGGCTGCGGAAAGGTCTGTGAACATTTTAATGTTCTTGTACCTCTGTGGGACCGCTCCGCCTGCTTTTGTTGCTTGGAGTAGTGCTTCCTTAGCATGGAAGTAATGTAGATGTGTAAGCCCATCTCTGGGGGTGTCTTGTGGTAGAAACGCCGGTTTTTGCACCCTGTGGTATCTATCCAGTAACAGAATTTCTGCTGGTATGTCCAGTGCTAGCGCCTTAAAGTACCCTATTACGTACTCATGTAGGTCCTGCTGCCTCACCTCCTCTGGGATGCCCCTTCTGCGGAGAGTTTGGCGTCGCAAGTGGTCCTCTAGGTCCATGACCTTCCTCTGTGTGAGGTCTAGTTGCTGCTGCATATCTTTCACCTGTTCCGCCATTTAGTTGTGCGCTGTGGCTTGTTCCTCCATGCGGTTTTCCTGCATCTCTCGTTTCATTTCTCTCAGTGTGCCTTGCAAGGTTTCCAGGATCTTACTGGACATGTTGTCTAGGCACTTCTGCAAGAAGTCCTGGGTCACTGGTAAGTTTTGCGCCCCTGGGGAGTTTTGCAGTGGTAGTGTGTCATTACCTCCGTCGCCATCTTGTTCCTGTTCTGCTAGGCCCAGATTTTTTGGCGTCGACGCCCGGGTCATGAAGAAGCCGACGCGATCGTTTTTTTCCGCTTGCTTCTTAATCTTTTGCGATGCCATGTCGGGAGGGTTTAGGGTGGTATGTTTAGGAGCCGGTACTGCTAATGTCACACTGTTTTGGGCTTTCGGTGTGCGGAGCTCAGCACAGTACGACCATCCGCTTTGCTTGTCAGGTCACGCCCCCCATCCCCCGAGGGTTTAACAGAAAGAGGGGGGTGTGGCCTGACAAGCAAAGCGTATGGTCGTACTGTGCTGAGCTCCGCACACCGAGCTCGATATTTAGGTAAAACAAGTAAGAACTGAAGACAAAAAAACACCTATAGAGGCAGCCAGAATTAGTGAGGAATCAAAGGCTCCCAGCTCAGTCCGAAATGACATTCATCCTATGCCCTACAGTCCTACTTTAAGGAGGCATACTGGAGTGCACTGCACCAGGATGAAGGTAGGTATGTTGGGACTTCTGTATGTTTGGAGTTCCCCAAAGCACCTTAGACTTGGTTGTGGTCCTGTTTTGGGCCGCTCAGGGATATTACACTGTGCCACCTCATGCAAAAGTGGAGTGCATTGCTTGCTCCACAGCCAAGATGGGGCTTTCACTGATGACTGGCACGTAGTTCTCTATGTTCCCCTTGGAATTAAGGCCACACAGCAGGCCAGGGCCAGCCACCGCCAACTTGTGGCAATGTACTCATCACCATCGTCATGAGACCTGGACTGGAACCAAAGCAGTTTCAGAGGTGAGTGTGCTCTCTGCTGAGCAATAATGTGCTAATGTTGGTCGACCTCTTGCCAAAATGCAGCAAAGATTCTGTCCAGACAGGAGATGATGTCCGCTTGCTGCATACCGGAAACAATAGATCTTGTGGCATCCACCATTTTAGAGAGAGCCTGCAAGTTGTGGTGAATAAGCAAGGCCTCCAATGGGCAATCGAGATAACCACCACAGATCCAGAGGAGTGGGGCTAAAGGGACACTAATGGAACACCACAGGGGCTCAGGATACTCCAGGTACTCCACCAACTATGGGCCATATATAATGTGACAAACTCACTATTTATCTTGTTCTAAAGACATTTTCCTTCTAGTTCGGGTTATAAGTTTCCCCGAACACACATACATTTCCCTAGTTCGGCAACTACAATCTACTGAACATCGACCACCCCCCTGGCTCATCAACTACAAACTAACCACAAACTTAAGTGCTCTCTCTGTGTGGCCGACGTTAATATAACCGAACAACACGTGCTGTGGAAATGTCACTCATCTTCTCTCACGAACGCAGACAGCAGCACGTGGTCGTCGAGCGTATGGAACTCAAAGTTGGATACATCCACGTGCGAACCTCGGTGATCTTGCGTCGACGCCTGCTTCTATTCCCAACAAGATAGGGGCGCGCTGTTCGGTAGGATTGTTCACACAACTAGGCGAACAATCGCTACCTGTGAGCTGACTGCTTCCACTTTTCCTCTGGAACTAATTTGGGCAGACGCCACGTGTGCGGTCGGTTAAAACTTTACCACGGTGGCGATCCAACTGTATTCCTGGTATCTGAGCACTATTTGGATATGTTGGGAGCTCAGATCTGGGATATCCAGGGAGTCCCTATATGTGTTATGGGTATTTTGGGGTGTTTTAGCATAATATGTTGTACCTCTAGTGCCTGGGAGATAATTAGTTTAAGGAAAAGCAAGCTCTCTTATCTCCCAGACACAGAGGAGCCTGGGCAGGCTTACTGTACAAATGAATGGAGACCACATGCTGGGGGTCTGTGTAAATGAGCAGGCCACTGGGCCTTAATGAATCAGTTCATTGTACTCTTCATCAAATCTTGGCTGGTCTCCGTCCCCGATTTTTTTTTTTTACCAGTATTTTTATGTTGTTATTAGTGCACTGTAAACGCTATTGCACTTTCAACACTATGTTATTAAATCCACTATAGACCACTGACACTATTACAATGTTGTATGTTTTATGCAATTGTTCCATGTATCTATTTCTATTTGCATTCATTCTTTATGCCTTTTTTATAAACATAAATACCATACTTGTTTCTATGTATATACAGAATCCCTCTTTTATCTATTTACAAGTTCATACGATATTTTTATATTTACATATCTATTTCTATTTGCATTCATTCCTTATGCCTTTTTTATAAACATAAATACCATACTTGTTTCTATGTATATACAGAATCCCTCTTTTATCTATTTACAAGTTCATAAGATATTTTTATATTTACATATTGATTTATAATATTTATCCTTTCAGCATATAGTCTATGTATGACAATATTCTTTTTAGATCACTATAAAACATTCCTGCATTTATCATTTTTTGTGATCTCTATTTATATATATGATGCACTTTAAGCTGCTTGCCACTATTTAATATAACATATATGTATTGGGCAAAACATTTGTTTAATAGCTTTCCAGCTATGTTTCAGAAGAAACCGAACAACACGTGCTGTGGAAATGTCACTCATCTTCTCTCACGAACGCAGACAGCAGCACGTGGTCGTCGAGCGTATGGAACTCAAAGTTGGATACATCCACGTGCGAACCTCGGTGATCTTGCGTCGACGCCTGCTTCTATTCCCAACAAGATAGGGGCGCGCTGTTCGGTAGGATTGTTCACACAACTAGGCGAACAATCGCTACCTGTGAGCTGACTGCTTCCACTTTTCCTCTGGAACTAATTTGGGCAGACGCCACGTGTGCGGTCGGTTAAAACTTTACCACGGTGGCGATCCAACTGTATTCCTGGTATCTGAGCACTATTTGGATATGTTGGGAGCTCAGATCTGGGATATCCAGGGAGTCCCTATATGTGTTATGGGTATTTTGGGGTGTTTTAGCATAATATGTTGTACCTCTAGTGCCTGGGAGATAATTAGTTTAAGGAAAAGCAAGCTCTCTTATCTCCCAGACACAGAGGAGCCTGGGCAGGCTTACTGTACAAATGAATGGAGACCACATGCTGGGGGTCTGTGTAAATGAGCAGGCCACTGGGCCTTAATGAATCAGTTCATTGTACTCTTCATCAAATCTTGGCTGGTCTCCGTCCCCGATTTTTTTTTTTTACCAGTATTTTTATGTTGTTATTAGTGCACTGTAAACGCTATTGCACTTTCAACACTATGTTATTAAATCCACTATAGACCACTGACACTATTACAATGTTGTATGTTTTATGCAATTGTTCCATGTATCTATTTCTATTTGCATTCATTCTTTATGCCTTTTTTATAAACATAAATACCATACTTGTTTCTATGTATATACAGAATCCCTCTTTTATCTATTTACAAGTTCATACGATATTTTTATATTTACATATCTATTTCTATTTGCATTCATTCCTTATGCCTTTTTTATAAACATAAATACCATACTTGTTTCTATGTATATACAGAATCCCTCTTTTATCTATTTACAAGTTCATAAGATATTTTTATATTTACATATTGATTTATAATATTTATCCTTTCAGCATATAGTCTATGTATGACAATATTCTTTTTAGATCACTATAAAACATTCCTGCATTTATCATTTTTTGTGATCTCTATTTATATATATGATGCACTTTAAGCTGCTTGCCACTATTTAATATAACATATATGTATTGGGCAAAACATTTGTTTAATAGCTTTCCAGCTATGTTTCAGAAGAAACCGAACAACACGTGCTGTGGAAATGTCACTCATCTTCTCTCACGAACGCAGACAGCAGCACGTGGTCGTCGAGCGTATGGAACTCAAAGTTGGATACATCCACGTGCGAACCTCGGTGATCTTGCGTCGACGCCTGCTTCTATTCCCAACAAGATAGGGGCGCGCTGTTCGGTAGGATTGTTCACACAACTAGGCGAACAATCGCTACCTGTGAGCTGACTGCTTCCACTTTTCCTCTGGAACTAATTTGGGCAGACGCCACGTGTGCGGTCGGTTAAAACTTTACCACGGTGGCGATCCAACTGTATTCCTGGTATCTGAGCACTATTTGGATATGTTGGGAGCTCAGATCTGGGATATCCAGGGAGTCCCTATATGTGTTATGGGTATTTTGGGGTGTTTTAGCATAATATGTTGTACCTCTAGTGCCTGGGAGATAATTAGTTTAAGGAAAAGCAAGCTCTCTTATCTCCCAGACACAGAGGAGCCTGGGCAGGCTTACTGTACAAATGAATGGAGACCACATGCTGGGGGTCTGTGTAAATGAGCAGGCCACTGGGCCTTAATGAATCAGTTCATTGTACTCTTCATCAAATCTTGGCTGGTCTCCGTCCCCGATTTTTTTTTTTTACCAGTATTTTTATGTTGTTATTAGTGCACTGTAAACGCTATTGCACTTTCAACACTATGTTATTAAATCCACTATAGACCACTGACACTATTACAATGTTGTATGTTTTATGCAATTGTTCCATGTATCTATTTCTATTTGCATTCATTCTTTATGCCTTTTTTATAAACATAAATACCATACTTGTTTCTATGTATATACAGAATCCCTCTTTAATCTATTTACAAGTTCATACGATATTTTTATATTTACATATCTATTTCTATTTGCATTCATTCCTTATGCCTTTTTTATAAACATAAATACCATACTTGTTTCTATGTATATACAGAATCCCTCTTTTATCTATTTACAAGTTCATAAGATATTTTTATATTTACATATTGATTTATAATATTTATCCTTTCAGCATATAGTCTATGTATGACAATATTCTTTTTAGATCACTATAAAACATTCCTGCATTTATCATTTTTTGTGATCTCTATTTATATATATGATGCACTTTAAGCTGCTTGCCACTATTTAATATAACATATATGTATTGGGCAAAACATTTGTTTAATAGCTTTCCAGCTATGTTTCTTCTATTCCCCTCATAGATTCCGTTATATGTACGATATTTGGAACGTTCATACGCCATTTTTGATGCTACGTGCGTTCCACACACACATCCCATGAGCTCATTCAACCACTGGGAACTTAATTACGCTGTGTCACTTCCTGGTGTGATGTGTGCGTTCCACAGTG